TGAATGCAACATTAGACGCACACAGATAATGTAATAAAAAACAGGAAGTTGTAAGGGTTTCAGTACATACATTAACTATCTTATAACCTGCTGCCACAAATGAGTGCTGCTACATTGACTAAGGGTTTGGAATGGGGCAGCATCAGCAAAAATCTTTCATTATTCTTCATTCTTTTCTTTTTTTTTGTTGTTTTATTAAAGCACACATATTTATATTAAGAGCACAAAAATGATAAAGAAATCAAATTAAAAAATATATTAAAAATAAATTTACTTATTGCAAGAACACAACGGCAAAAATTTCCTTTTAGCATTTTAACGATATCTAACTCTATATCATGATCTCTAAACTAAAATAAACAAATAAAAATTTAAACATTAAAAAAAAGCATTATAATAATACTAATATTATATTTGCGTTTCCAATAATATTTACCTTAGTATACTCTATTAATATTGCATGCAATAATGGAAAAGGATAACGACAAAAAACATCACGAATCTTTTTGTCTAGATAATCACCACCAGCATCTAGAAGCTAAAATATCTTTTACTAGTAATTAAAACTCAACAATGTTACTAATAAAATCATACTGTAGAAATTAACAAAGAGAAGCATACATACATGTTATGTTAATTTTTGATAATGTAAATATATTAGTATATAATATCGTGCTAATTTAATGTCAAACTTCAAATGCTCAAATAAATAAACAATCTTTTAAGATTTGTATGTGTAGTAATTTACTCTTACATTTATTGTTTGTTATATTTGTCAAAAAAATATATATTGCAAGTAGGTCTGTTGAAAATTGCAAAATCCCTGCCTGGGTACCCATCAAATGAACAGACAGGTACCCAGGTACCTGTTTTAAAAAAATATTTTTTATAATAATTAAGGTTTAAAAATACTAGCATGAACACTATTTTGGGTGCTAAAGATGAATGCCATCAATTCACCACATTCCCAGCAGTCAAAAAAACGCATTCTGATGATACTGAAGTTGCTAGTATGCACAAGTTTTTGTGCGCTAAAATAGCAAGCTTTTGGTAACATATATTTATATATATATATATATATATATATATATATATATATATATATATATATATATATATATATATATATATATATATATATATATATATATATATGTATATATATATATATATATATATATATATATATATATATATATATATATATTTATATATATATATATAACAACAATATATATATATATATATATATATATATATATATATATATATATATATATATATATATATATATATATATATATATATATATATATATATATATATATATATATATATATAACAACAACTAGCTTTTACAAAACATGTATTTGTTACAAATTAATGAATGCTATTTTCTTTGTTTTAGTTTTTCCGATTGACGATAAGGAAAACATAGTAAATAACAAGATGGTTTATTGTACTTAAAATTGCATAACATTGAACATCTGGAAAAAAAAATCAAATGACTTTCCAAATGAATGTATTTTTGGAAATTCTGATTGTGATTAAATAAATTACTATAAGAGCTTGGAAAAAGTACCCTTTAATAAAAAAGGCTACCTGAGCAATAACCAACAGTCGAGTACCCTGGTGCCATGGTACCCATTAACAGCCTTAATTGTGAGTAGACCCTTGAATCAATAATAATTTTATTAGTTTTATATAGTTACCAATTTTGTTGCAAATAGTGCTAAGTAGTGTTGTACACAAATAAAAAAAGTATAAATATTTAAACAAAAAAAAAAAAGCAACAATTTAGTAATAAATAAAATTTGTAATAAGTTTAAATAATCTATATATATATATATATATATATATACATATATATACATATATATATATATATATATATATATATATATATATATATATATATATATATATATATATATATATATATATATATATATATATTTACAGTATCGGACAAAACAATTGCAACCAAATAATGCTAATTTAGTTTCTTTATATAAAAGTGCTGCTTTTTTTCAATTTCGAGAAATAACTATGTAACTGTTTAGAGACAACGTTCTTTAAGTTTTATTCATCACAAAGTTCATTATTTGTACACGAAAATTAATAAATTAATCAATAGTATTAAAAAAAAGTTGATTTCCTTCAGGACAAAACAAGTGCAACTCCACAAAATGTTGACCAAGCTGTATTTCATAATCAATATTTTGTGGCAAATCCTTTGTTGTCTATCACAGCCTTGCATCTTCGAGGCATAGATTCGATCAGGTGATTAATGAAACTTTGTGGAATCGGTGCCCAGGCCTTTTAGATTTGTTCATACAGTTAATCCTTATTACGAACACCTTCACAATTAATTCTGCGGTTAACGATCTCCCACAGATTCTCGATAGGGTTGAGATCCGGATATTGAGGCGGCCAATCCATCACCGATAGATGGTTGTCTTGAAACCACTGCTTGGCTGCTTTTGCAGTGTGTTTCGGACTGTTGTCTTGCTGAAAAACCCATTTTATTGGCGTATTTCATTTAGCATGAGGTAACATAACATCTTTCAGGATATTTTTATACATGAAACGGTCCATTATTCCATCAATTCTATGTATTGGACCTAGACTGTTAGCAGAAAAATACCCCCAGACCATTACATTGCCTCCACCATGCTTCATGGTCTTACGCAAAAATAAATTGGCAGTAACGCAAATTGAGGCGTTTTCTGGTCGGTCCACGTACACAGCAAATGCCATTGCTCCCAATGATGTTGAACTTCGATTCATCACTGAACAGGACAGTTCTCCATTTCTCCACATTCTAGTCAATATGCAAACAGGAGTCTTTTTTTCTGGTTCTTTAGTGAAATCAGCGGTTTCTTTGAAGGGCGTCAAGAAAACAATCCGGCTTCAACAGCACATCATCTGATTGTTCGGTCTGATACAGGCAGCTCTAACTGCTTTTGTATTTTGACTGATGATATCCAGGGATCCTTCTTGACGGATCTGACAATCATAGAATCCTCTTTAAAAGTGGTGGAACGTGGTCTTCCACCTTTGTTATCTGTTGCCAATTTTCCCATAGAACGATATTTGGAACATTGTCTTGATATGGTCCATTTTTTCACGCAATTTTTATCACAAATACTTTTTTGTGACATTCCACTTATGTAATCGCCAATAATTTTCTTTCTTAGTTCCAATCCAAGACTGTCGGGAGCAATTTTTGCACTTGAAGTCATAAAAATAATAAAAATAAATAATCACACTTCTCAAGGATTACCATGTTACATTTACTTTGTGATGATACAATAATGCTCTGTGGAACACAATGTCTGGATACTTACTTTAATTATTAAAAAACTTCCATGATGTTGACACGGACCAGACTTAAGAAAATGAAACAAAGCAAAAAAGTTGCACTTGTTTTGTCTGCTGCAAAATGGCACTTGTCAACAAAATTCTGCCTGTGTGCTGTCACCTGTCAGCTAATTGCTCATGTCATGGCATGCTATGACTCCAGACTTCTGAACTGTTTGCTGTGGTAGTATAGTTCGTTTTGTTTTTAAGACATGTAAAATTAGGAACACTTTTTAGCATTGTTCGATGTTGGTTTTGTCCAATACTGTATATATATATATATATATATATATATATATATATATATATATATATATATATATATATATATATATATATATATTGTTGCAAGTTTTTTTGTACCAAATAGAGATAAAAAGGTTCTTGTACATTTTTTTAGAGTTATCAATATACTGTAAATTAATTATTTACAAAATAGATCATCAATTATATACAAAAGTTTAACTAAATGAAAAAATGTAACTTTATGATGGAATTTAAAGTTTTATGCCATTTTGGCAATCATCAGCCATATATATCCTACAATAATCCTTCATCAATTTCCCTTAAAGTAGCGTACTTTTCTTTAATTGATTTTGTGTTCATAAATATTTTTATATATTTGCATAACATATATATGGCTGATGATTGCCGAAATAGCATGAAACTTAAAGTTCCATCATAAAGTTGTATTTTTTATTTTAGTTAAACTTATATATGTATATTTATATACATATACATATAAATATAAATATATATATATATATATATATATATATATATATATATATATATATATATATATATATATATATATATATATATATACACATATATAATTTTGAGTCAACTTCAAATATAAATTTTATATAATAAATATAACTATTTAAAAATCAACAATAATATTCCAACATTTCATGATCTGCGCAATAACACTATCGTGTTTACAAAATGAGCAAATATGTAAATTTGAGCACAATTGTGAAATGATGGTAAAATTGCACATTTCGTGAAATGCGTAATTTCACAACCTGTGCGTAACATTATTTTAATTAAAAAAATCATTTATGTGGTAATATTGAATTGTCATTACTGCAACAGTTAGAACTTTCTGATTCTTAGTTTCCTACACCTAATAATCTATTGATTTCTAATTTATTTATTCATAACTTTTCTTTTTTATCTGCATTCTTTACATATAGGTGCTTTACTTCATCAGAAAACTTTCTACATTTTTCAATAAGCTTTGTCATTCGAGGTTTTTATTTAGACATGTTATAGAAAAAGAAACATGTAACTCTTTCCATTTTGCTAATTTGGTTTATAGGTTAAAATAAATGGGCAACTAGAGTTTTATTTCTTCCCCCTATATGGCCAGCTTAACCATAACTTATACCAACAAGAAGAGCAATAAGAAATCCTTTAATAATTTAAAGATATCCACTCTATTTTTTTTTTATATATAAAGGGTGCTGTATAAAAAATCACAACTCAATGTTTTTCATGTGCTAAAAAAATTTACACTGGAGAGGGATAAAAATATTGGAAAAGAGTTTGGTGTAAGGAGACTACCTTCAAAAAGCAAAAAAATACCAAGAGCAGACAAAATCATCTAGAATATCAGCCTGGAGAACAGAAAAAAGTCTGAATAAAGTGGGATTGATGTGTCATTGTCCAGCCAGGAAACCAAAACTAACTTCTTTCATGAAGAAAAAAAGACTGAATGAGCTTGAAATTATTGGCACTGGTCTGCTGAGGGTTGGAAAAGGTATTTTTATTCACATTCTCATTCATAATTTATTTTACAATATTTTATAAATATTATAACTTAAATCACCATTATTTTAGGTTCTCTCCTTAGATGAGTCAACTTTTCAAGTGATGACTGAAAAAATAGCTTTTGTCTGACTTTAACTTGTAAAAAGTTAAAATAAATACTAAATATGAAATTTAAATAATTTAAATTATAATTCATATTTAATTTTCTTTTTATCTCAAACAAAAAAGCATACAGCTGATAGAGCTCTTGCTTCCTTTGCAGCATCTTCTTTAGTCCATTCATACTGGTTATCTCTTTGTCCCTAAAATAAATTGAAATAAAACAAATTTGATTTATAAAATTACATAAGTACTATAATACTTAATTTTGAATTTTATTTTCAAAAAAAGGCCAAATTTAGGTTAAGCTATAATTTGATTATTACTTCAATAACTCATTTGATAAAGTTTACAGTGAGGTTGTTATAAATATTTTAGGGGTAAAGATGATAAGAAGTTACAACATTCAAATGCTCAAACCAAATTTAGTACAGTTATATAATGTGTTAACTAATTTTTGAACATAGAATCCTTTGTATATATTTTCAGTTTTGTATATAACTATATAAACACTTAAATACTCTTAACATGTCTAAGAACACATTATTATCTAAACATTTTAATCAAATTCCATGCAAAGAACTTTGTGGTAATAATAAATGTGTATTTGCCTTTAATATTATGTTCTATTTAAAACTAATATATATATATATATATATATATATATATATATATATATATATATATATATATATATATATATATATATATATATATACATATATATACATATATATATATATATATATATATATATATATATATATATATATATATATATATATATATATATATATATATATATATATATATATCAACCCTTTCCATATAATTCCTACAAAAAGAGATGTTGTGAAATCTTGCTATTATGTTCGTAGAAATGAAGATTCTAAAGACAAAGGATCAAGTTCTGCTCATAAATGTTACAGTTTAGTTACCACTGAAATTGAAAATATTTGGCGTAAATTCAGTTTTCCAACAATCCAAACAAAGGGAGTATTCTCAAAAGTATATAGATTAATGGAAAAAGCATCCAATTTAAATAAAACCTCATGACATAGAAGAAATGATATTTTTTATGACAAATTAAAAGGTTTTGACAACATGTTTGATATATGTTCATGCAACTGTTATGATTTAGGAGTAGAAAGAGAGAAATGCAGATGTACTTTTAAAGTGCCAATAAAAGAGTGGGATGCGTTTGTTGGGCAAAAAAAAAACACAAATCAACTTGGACTACTTGATCGTGCCTACATATCTACTTTAACCAAAACTGAAAATAGAAAAATGACATAAAAAATGTAATCAAAAAAGGTTTCATTACAATGAACTAGCAGTTCATTGTAATGAAAAATGTAATCATAGCAGATCGTTATTGTGCCAGGGTAAATGAATCAAATATGTTTGATAGGAAAAAAGTAGAAAAAAAGAGAAAGACTTTTTGTTGGACAAAAAAAATGTAAATGAGAGAAAATGCGAAAATTTGAAATAACAATGTACTGGTTTTGATGGAAGAAAAGACAATACAATAACAACTGCAGGGATAATTAAAGAAGAACATATTACAATTGTTAGAGAACCAAAAAGCAGCTATATAGATCATCTAATACCTGATAATGAACTTCTTGCTGCATTGCTAATGAAATTCTACACTTAATATTTGAAACTGGCAGCAACGGTTCTTTAGATGCTCTCTTATGTGATGCAACTGTAGTAAATACTGGAAAATTAGGAGGGATGATAAAATTAATTAAAACAAAACTCGATAGACCAATACAGTGGCTCATTTATCAGCTACATTTAAATGAACTCCCCTTTAAAAACGTATTTGAGTTGATTGATGGAAAATCTTCTGAACCTGGATCATTTACAGGAAAAATTGGTAAAAAAATAACAGAGGATTTAACAAATTTAGCAGTAGTTCCTTTCAAAAAAATCAATGGTTGTTTTCATTTAATTCCAGATAACATCTTTAGTGAATTAAGTTCAGATCAAAAATATCCTAAAAGTATCTGTTTATCTATTCAATCAGGAGATGTTTCAAATAAAATCTCTAAGAATTATCCCGGAAACATTCATCATGCTCAGTGGCTCACAAGAGCAAATCGTATTCTACGCTAATACAAAAAGCCAACAAAAGAACTTATTGACTTGGTTACAATAATTATGCAATGCTGTGCACCAGGATGGTTCCAAATCAAATCAATTTATTTGGCAATCAATGGCGCTCAAAATTTTTGGTATCTTGCTTAATTAATTAAAAATGCAGTTATTAATGTAAAATACAAGAAGCTAATGGAACAAATTTTGAAGCAAAATTCATATTTTCCTAACCCAAAAAATATTTGCAATGATAAGTGATGAAAGAAAACAAATTAAAACTACAGCCATTTAAAGGATACTTAAATCCAGGAATACTAAATAAATCCAGGAATACTTTCTACAACATTAAATCTTGGAGCTAAAGATTACTGTGAATTAATAAATTAGGATATCGAGGAAGCTCATTCACCACTGAATGATATTCCTTCAAATGAAGATATTTTGAAAACTAATGACAGTCCATTAAGTATCCCATAGTATCCTTGTCATAGTCAGAATATGGAAAATAGTCACAAAGGCATCAGAAAAAAGATATGACTACGAAAAATGTCACAAATTTCTAATAAATCTGTTGGAGTCCAGGGAAAAAATGTCTAAATTTGATTTGAAAGTGCTATGGAAATAAGACATTTATAAAAATATATATTTTAGCCTATATTATAGCCTATAAAACTTTTCAATCTATTTTTTTTAATTTCTAAAAGTTTTATTTCTTTGCTTAAAAAAAGTAATATATGAGCAGAAAGCATTTTAAAGCTTACATCCCTTATTTAACACCTTATTTATCCCTTATTCTAATAAAATACCTAAACAGTATTTTAGTAGAACATTTTTGTAGTATGTCTAAATCATTACAATTATATAAAATAATATAAAATAAAACAATTATAAAATAATTATATATAAAAGTTGCTTATACTCCCTTTTTCTCTAAAATGCCAAAAAATCTGATTTTGTGTGCAACGCTGCTCAAGTTAGTACAGACCTCAAAATTAGTATACATCCCTCACACATATATAGGATGCCCCCACAATATGCTACTTCTTTTAAAAAATTTTGACCCACCCTAATGTTTACATTTAATGAGGAAAAGTCTATATTGTCTACTTCGTATAAAAGCTTCTTAGGTTTTATTATAAAAAGGCGGCTTATTTTCTCCTAATCAAGATCGCTTAAAGTCATAAATTCAAATGCCTACTTCCACTGATTCCTGCTTCCAGTGCTTTTCTCCGTCGAGTCCTTGGCATGATCTCATACTATTCCCAATATATCAAACATTTTTCTGACAAAATTCATGTTTATCTCTAAATTCTACCTTTCCACTGTCAATTGAAGCTATTAAATGTTTCAATGAATGAATGAAAGAATTAATCTCTCAATCAGCTCAACAAGCTATTGATGAAACTATCCCATTTGAGGTGGAAACAGATGCCTCTGATTTTGCTATAGCTGCTTTCCTTAGTCAGGCTAGAAGACCAGTTACAATCTTTTCTTACAAACTTTCACCTACTGAAAAAAACATTCTTCTGTTGAGAAGGAAGCTTATGCTATCGTCAAATCACTTTGAAAATGGAAACACTATCAGTATTTTACTCTAGTCACCACCAGTGCTCTATCTCTTGATGCACTCTCTAGATATTGTTGCTCTATGGCTAAGGAACTACATGAATCTCTTCAGTCACTCTGGAATTACCAGAATGGACCATTTTATAAAATCAAAAAATTTATCTTTTTCAATTGATGATGTAAAAAAAACATTTCTTCGTGTCAAACTTGTGCTGAATTAAAATCTAAATACAATGAACTCCTGATATCTCAAATCTCTGATGGGACCTAGTAAAGAGTTAGCGAATGTTGGAATTATTGGGACATTCTATTACACAAACTATTGCCGATAAGTAAAAACAATTTGAGTTATCAAAAGTTATATCGAAAATTTTTACTTTATTTTTGATCCATGTTGACAGCGTATTTTTTAGAATGCCATATTTCATAGCAAACTGAGACTTTGACAACCCTTCATCAATTTAAAGTAGCGTACTTTTCTTTAATTGATTTTGTGTTCATTTTTCTTTTTACATTGACAGTAGACATAATAAAATATAAACAAATTTTATTATAATATTGCAACACATGTATAACTATAAACTAAATATATAAAATACTATAAACTAAACTATAAAACTATTATTATTGTTTAAATTACAATGTTAGGGCTTCATTGCAGTTTTTTTTTTAATTTTTGTTCTAAAGTTCGAGTTATCGGAAAAATATTAGCCATGGGAACAGATAAAATGGTTTGACTTAGCGAATGTTTGAGCTGATGGGTGTTCAAGTTATCGAGTTGTTTTTATGTGAAGATTCAAGGGGAACTCAAAAGTAATTTGAGTTACTGGAAGTTCGAGTTATCCGGGGTTCAAGATATCGGGATTTATACATATATATATATATATATAATATAAATTTATACTATGTAAGCAATTATACACTATACTATGTAAGCAATTTTAACCACACCTTAATAAAATCTACTAAACCTTTTGAGCAACTAAGCATGGATTTTAAAGGACTTATTCTGCTTTCATCTAGCAACAAATATTTTTAACAGTTGTTGATAAGTTTACAAGATTTCCCTTTGTATTTCCTTGTCGTAATATCTCTACTTCAACCATAATTAAATGTTTAACTCTACTTTTCACTTTATTTGATATGCCAGATTGAGGCACTTGCTTCATGTCAAAAGAGCTCCACAATTTTCTTAATTCTAGAGGGGTCAACCTGAGTAGGACTACTACTTATAATTCTCAGGGTAATGGTCAATGTGAAAATTACAATAGCATTATTTGGAAAGAAATTTCGCTTGCTCTCAAATAAAAGAATTTACCTACCATAAGCTGTGAACATGTATTACCCAATGCCTTCATTCAATGCATTCCTTACTTTACACTTCTACTAATGCAATGCCTCACAAACGATTATTTGGTTTCGGTCAACGTTCTTCTAATGGACATTGTGGACTTTGTTCCTACATGGTTAACTAATCTGGTCCTGAAGTTCTAAAAAGGCATCCATGGCATATATAAACCTCTGGTTGAAGAGAATGAATTTTTAGAAGCTTATAGTAAATATTCCCATTTAAGAAGACTGATGGACCACTGTTGCTACAAGACATCTTTGCTGATATAATCAGTGATAATGACAGAAATAACTATAAAGATATTTCCAATGAACCTGATACAATCCCTTCACCTGAGCCTCTCCATCCTAAAAGATCTCAAAACTTTTCTACTCTCTCTCCAACAAATTCTAATAGGATTTCTATTGAAGAAGTAGTTCCTCATTGTTCAGGAAGATCCCAGAATCCTTCTTAATATTTAAATGACTATATTTGAACTATTTGAACTTATCTAACTATATTGTTTTATTTAGTATGGTAGAATGTGCTAATTCTTATGATTATTACTATACTTGTTGAGTTTTATTATGTGTAAACTAAAACTAACCTGTTTGTATATTTTAGTTTGCATATTATTATATGAAGAATTAAAGCTATCTTGGCTTAGAATCAATTGTGGACTATTAAATTTACTACACAACAATATGTGTGTATATATATATATATATATATATATATATATATATATATATATATATATATATATATATATATATATATATATGTATATATATATATATATGCATGTATATATATATGCATGTATATATATATATTTATATATATATATTTATAAATTTATATATATATATATGCATGTATATATATATATTTATATATATAATATATATTCATAAATTTATATATATATGTATATATATATATATATATATATATATATATATATATATATATATATATATATATATATATATATATATAATTTTCTTAAAGATCAAAAGGGTGATTGTGTTGTGTATGTACTCTAAAAATCAACTCTAAAAGAATTAAAAAGAGAAAAAGTAATTATTAAAAAAAAAAATTATAAAATAACTAATAAAAAGTAGAAAAGAGAAAAGAAAAGGTTCAGCTATTTTGGATTAAAGGCAGAGTGCACAGGACAAAGTCCTCTGAATTAAGAGAGTGAGCGGTTTTTATAAAGATCAAAAAATCAAATTTATATTATTAAGATTACTTATCATGCATTATTTAATCACTTTTTGTCACTGTAGCACATTGTGCAAATTGTTATCACTGTAGCATATTGTGCATTTTGGCTGTGAAAAAGCAGGTCAAGAAATTTAGAAAAATATACAGTTTTAAAAGGTAAATAATAGAAAAAGTGACAGACACATTGACAGACAAAATAATGCAATTACAAGCTTTATTATAAATACAGTAACTTACGGTAGCTAACTTCATTAGAATTTTTTGAAAAACACCAGTTGTTTCATCTTCAATATGATCAAGAAGTTCTTCATTATATCCTTCATAATTAAATTAAATAAACTAAAACTCTTAACCAATTTAATAATTAAATTTATTAAAAAAAAAAAATTGCTTACTTAATTCATAAACTTTTCTAATTTTTTCCAACTCCTAAAACATTTATTGTAGATACAAAAAATATAATAAAAATCGTAAACAGTTTTAAGTTTCATAAATAAGGAATCATTAGGTCATTATAAATGACCTAATGATTCAACTAACAGATAGAGTTATTAATATAAACAAAGAGTAAATACTTTCAACTTACTTCATTGCTACGAGTAATCAATATTTCAATAACCACCTCTGGATCTTTATGCATACCCTAAAAAATATATATGATATATGACATAATGCATATTTAGTATTTAATTCAAAATCCTATAATTTGATTGATAATTTAAAACGAACAAATTCTGTGATGGTTTCAGGGTTTTGATGGTTTAATATGATAAAAATTAAAGACTCAACAACAAGAACATCTACTGGATGTGTAGTGTCAACAACAAGAACATCTACTGGATGTGTAGTGTCAACAACAAGAACATCTACTGGATGTGTAGTGTCAACAACAAGAACATCTACTGGATGTGTAGTGTCAACAACAAGAACATCTACTGGATGTGTAGTGTCAACAACAAGAACATCTACTGGATGTGTAGTGTCAACAACAAGAACATCTACTGGATTCGTACACTCTATATTATAACTTAAGTAAAATGTATATCAAAATCTTTTTAAAAATATTAATATCGTAAACTTATAAATAGCAAAAATTTCACTATCAAAAGATCTATATTTACAAAAATGACATATCTCAATCAAAAGTTTTAGTATTATAAAAATGACACATTTCAATCAAAAGTTTTAGTATTACAAAAATGACACATTTCAATCAAAAGTTTTAGTATTACAAAAATGACACATTTCAATCAAAAGATCTATGATTACAAAAATCTCAACTGAGAGTTAGAGTATTAAATACATAACACCATGTAAAAATATGTTACATATGCTAAAAATATATGTTACATATGCTAAAAATATTTTAAAAATGCTATTTTTGCAAATTAAATTTTTTTTTGTCTGAACTAAATTAAAAGCTTACTTTTAGAGCATCCCATAGACACATAGCATCATATTCACAAGCAGGAATCATCATATTAGATATAACTCCAGCAACATTTGCAGGAAGAGATTTTCGTAGATCAACTAACAAGCTCTTTAAAAAAACAAACAAAAGTTGTTTGACCATGTACTGAGAATAATTACTGCAGTTTTTTAACTATTTTAATAATCTAATAATTAATTCTTTAATTAATTTAATAATCTATATAAAGAAACTTTATACTAAAACTTATTTTTGAATTTTTTCAAAACTGGTTTAATTAAGATGATTATAAAGAATTTATTTCATGTGTGAAATGTCATTTTGCATTAAACAAAAACAATTTTCAACTTTTTTCAGAAAAATCAATTGCTTGAAACGAGAGTATTTTATTAGACTATATAATATGCAAAATTTGAAAGTTGCAAGTCTTCTTATTTTTATTCAATTATTTTACATATAATTAATTATAAAGTATACATTAAATTAAGTTATAATTAATGAATTTTACATATAATTCATTATGAAATATGAAACTTAAAGTGAGTTATAATAATGAATTTTTAAAATAAGGGTTGATGTAAAACATTTTTTTCATATATTATGAAACGTAAATAATTTATTTTTTAATTTTTGTATTTTTTTAGACATGTTTGGGTCCTGTGAAAAATGAGTAGTTTTACATAAAAGCCATATAATTATATGAACTTGTATAAAAAAACATGATTTGAAATGTTGCAACTTGATTGAGTTTAGATAGACAGTTAACAAATTTTTTTAGATATTTTTGTTTTAAAGTTAGAAAAACAAAATTTATCTTTTTAGCTTGAAAACTTTACATTAAATCATAAAAATTAATAAAATGCTAAAAAGTTTTAGCTTTGTTTACATTTACTAATATTAATAATGCACTTCTTTGTAATTCTACAAAAAATTGCATCTTTAAAGTGGTTTATTTATGTTGAAACATATTTTTCAAATATAAAGAAAGAAAGATATTAAACATATTTTATACTAGTTAACTTTAGATTTTATTTTTGAGTCGATTCTTTATTTTCTTATAAACTATCTTCTCCAGCTTGAAGCAACTTAATACCAAAAATTACTGGTAACTAATTTGTATTGCTTTATGTAAGTTATGTACTGTAAAAATTAATAACCAAGATCTTTTTTTTACTTAAAAAAAACAAGTAATAAAGATAATTATCATAAATAATACTTTAAACAGTGGTGGTACCACTATTATTCACTTTTAAAAAAATTACCTGTAGATATTCATCTCGATACATTTTTCTAAGCCATCTTCTATTATCATTATTGTTCATTATAATAATCTCACAAACTTCCTCTAAATCACAATCTAATAATAAAAAATAATTAACACAAGTTTTATCATATAAACATATACCCAAATACATAACATTTCATTAGTAAAATATACAACAAAAAGTATAATAAAGTATACATACAAATATAATATACAAATAAAATATACATACAAAACGATTTTCATTTAGGTAACAAAATTAATTAAAAATTAACAACTTAATTATTTCTTAAATAAATATATTTATAATTTGTAATATTATGTAAATAACATTAAATTTAAATGAGAAAACTAATTAAATTTTATCCTTTTTTTAAAAAATTACAAAAACGCAACAAAAATTACAGACTGGAATTTTTTTTTTTTAAAATAAACAATAAAAATATTATAATTTTTTTTGTTTTTTTTTTACTGTTTACATATACTGACTGACAAATAGGTAGAACATATATATATATATATATATATATATATATATATATATATATATATATATATATATATATATATATATATATATATATATATATATATATATATACTCTTGTTTGGTCATCTTTAATTTTTACCATAAAATTTAAACTTTATGTTTCTTTAAATATATATATATATATATATATATATATATATATATATATATATATATATATATATATATATATATATATATATATATATATATATAAAACTGTTGATATATATATATATATATCAACAGTTTTTGATAAGTTCAAAAATTTGTGGACAAAGCATTATTTTTTTTAAATAGTACAAATTTTTCAACATTATTTGATCACAAATTTATATAAAAGTAAAACTACATTATTATTTTGTAGGATATCCTTTACAATCAAGAATAGCTTGGCATCTATGATGCTCATATCTCTTCATAATTTTTCCAACAAATGACTTACCAGCTCCATAAAGCTGTGCTGTTTTACAAAACGAATTTCCATTTTGAATTGATCTCAAGATCAATTTTTTCACTGGAGATGAAATACATTTCTTAGATCCCATGATCTCAATCATTTATATATAAAGTTTGTAAATTATTTCCACAAAGTATTTGTTTATAAAATCATTAAATTAGCAATTTTGTGGGGAAAATGTTAAAAGCTTTAATTTGTCCGCAAACTTTTGAGCTTATCAAAAACCGTTACTTTGTAAACCAATTTTTAAATGTTAATTAAATAACCATTATTTGTTCAAAATATAATTGTTAACCTAAAACATTTTAATTGGTATATAATATGATGGCTTAAGTGGCTTATGCACTAAAATATTAGTAAAATTTTTTTTATGCCTGTCTGCAAATTTTTGGACGATACTAATTTCTACTAATTTATATTATATTATTCTACTAAATTATAAATTTTAAACAAAATAGTAATTAATTTTTAATTAGTTTTGTAGAAGCATATGTATGTATGCATATATGTATATATATATATATTAGGGTGATTCAGATTGTAATAGAAAAAAAATGTCACAAAAAACATTCTCCTCAAGGTTGCCGGTGTTCCTTTATCACCTAGGATCATGTGTACCAAAAATTAGACTAAAAGAAGCAATTTTAGGGGTTGCCATGTTTTATAAGATGAATTAACCATTGGTAAAATTTTGTGATTTTCTCAAATTTTGCAAATTTGTTTTTTCATTGTTTATTTATTTATAATTTAGAAATTGATAATATGGCAACCACTAGATCTTCTGCTGAGGTGTGGCTTGTTGGTAAACCTACACAAACTCTGTCGACTGCCAGACTTCCTTCAAGAGGGGATGTTCTTTGGAGGTTGCTCTTCCATCATATAGAAGAGAAACAAGAAGTGAAAAAAAGTATTCGGGCAACAATTGAAGCAGTTCTTGTTATATGGGAGAGAGGAAAAATTCCAACTAAAAGAATTGACAATGCGGAAAGAAAGTTAAAAAAACTTTATGACGAATATCTGCTGCTGAAAAAACACCGAGGATCAAAATTGGACAGCTGTCAAATGAAAGAAGGAATTTTCCACGCTGACCTTGAAGAACTTTTTGATATTTCAACCAAGAATGCATCAGAAGTTATGAAAAACGATGAAGATAAAGCATTTTTACGTCAGCAGCAAGAAGATCCATTAAGTTGTAGTATGGCAGGAATTGATCGGAATTTAACAGCTAGGGAGGCACGGAAACGAGTCCGAGAAACTAAAATGGAATTGAGGCGTCAAAGAAGTCAAGCGGAACTGATGGAAAAAACAGAACTCATTTCTTCTTCATCAGCAGTTGACATTGTGAGTGAAAGTAGCTCTAGTTCCTCGGATGATGATGTATATCAGACTCCTTCCGCTTCCAGCACACTGAGCACAAGTGGTTCAACGAAAAAGAAGATGAAAGTTCTAACAAATAATGTTGCATCATCTCTTGATCGTGTTAATATTTCTGATCGCCGTGCACTCTTCGTGGTTGGAACAGTGTCTCAGGCTCTTGGTCACTCGGTAAAAGATTTATCATTGTCGTACAGCACAATCCGCAGAAAAAGGCGATCTGTTCGTGAAGCGGTGACTACAGCTGACAAGGTTGATTTCTCTCCTGATGATCCACTTCTTCTGCATTGGGATGGAAAGCTCTTACCTGATATCACTGGTGGTCAAAAAAAAGTGGATAGAATTGCCATCCTTGTGACTGGTGGTGGGGTGGAAAAATTGCTGGGCGTTCCAAAGATTGATCGAGGTACAGGTGAGCAACAGGCTGATGCTTGCATGAAGGCTCTTAAAGACTGGAAATTGAAAGAACTTGTTCGGGGACTGGTTTTTGACACTACTTCATCTAACACTGGGTTGAACATTGGTGCCTGCACAATAATGGAGCAGAATCTTGACCGTAATCTTATATGGATAGCATGCAGGCACCATATGTTTGAAGTCATGCTTTCCACCATTTTCACGACTGCATTTGGAACCAGTGGAGGACCTGAAGTTGGAATTTTTAACCGTTTCCAGAAACAATGGCCAGCAATCAACAAGGAGGTGTTCACTACAGGGAATAAAGAATTTTACAACTGCGATTTTTTTCTCAAACTCCGTGAAGAAATGGTAGTATATTATAGTGAAGCAATTAAAGGTCAACAACCCAGGGATGATTACTTAGAACTCTTGAATTTGTGCCTTATTTTTCTAGGAGGATCAACTACAACATCGGAGTTCAAAGTGAAGTTTCGGGCTCCAGGTGCAACACACAATGCACGTTGGATGGCAAAAGCTATATATTGTATAAAGATATATTTGTTTCAGGATCAATTTGTTATTACTGCAAAGGAAAAGAAAGGAATAACAGATATAAGTATTTTTGTGGCATTTGTATACGGACAGTTTTGGAATGAAGCTCCGTTAGCTGAACGAGCACCATTCAATGATGCCAAGCTTCTTCAACGGATTCAAGAATATCCAAATCGTACAATTGCAATTAATGCAGTAAAAGCTTTTCATCGCCACCTCTGGTATTTTTCTGAACATCTAATAGGATTGGCTTTCTTCGATTCCCGTGTCGACAACAACACCAAGAGAGACATGGCAAACAACCTGAAACAACAGCCAAGGCAGAAATCTCTCAAAAGACTTGATGCTGCCACATTCGATTGTCACAGCCCATTGCCTTCCTTCGTCACACAACGCACCGCAGAACTTTTCGATCTAATTTTGAAAAATGGAAAAGAAAAAGCTGAATCATTTTTAATGAAAGAATCTTCAGAGTGGGAAATGGATTCAACATATCTTGAAATGAAGCACAAGGTTGGTCAAATGAAAGTCGTCAACGATTGCGCGGAACGAGGCATAGCACTTATAACATCCTTTAACTCAAGCGTTACGAAAGATGAAAACCAAAAGCAGTTTCTTCTTAGATTGGTTGATCTTCACCGGAAGGAATTTCCAGTTGCATCAAAGTCTACCCTGATGAAGATGACTGTTGAATGATGAAGATGATTGATTTATTATTGCCTAGTGCAATTACATAGTAGTACTATAGTATTGATTTTTTTAACATTGAACATCCACAATCCACCACATAATAATAAGAAATTGATAATAAATAATTCAGTAATATAATATAAAAAATGTAAAAATAAAAAATATTTTTTTTACTTTTTGTAACCTTATACCAAAATGTGACAAAACATGGCAACCCCTAAATATCATCCGATTTGATTCAAATTTTGGCCAATAACTACTATTGTCATATAGAACAAGGGCAAGCTTGAGGACAACTAAAGTTTTGAACCTACAAATTTTGCATCACCCTAATATATATATATATATATATATATATATATATATATATATATATATATATATATATATATATATATATATATATATATATATATATATATATATATATATATATATATATATATATACTCTTGCATGTCTCTTGCTTGGCATCAAAAAAAATTTCCCATAAACTGTAGTTTTAAAGAGCGCGTTAATAAACCAGACCAGAAAAAGTTTTGAAAATTTAAAAATTAAATTTTTTTTTTTAATTGATAGACTGCCTGGCCAAACCAAACCCTCAGTCGATGTAGCAGCACTCTCTTGCGAGTCAGGCTATTTGTCAGTCGTTGTAGCAGCACTCCCTTGCGAGTCAGGCTATTTGTCAGTCGATGTAGCAGCACTCTGTTGCGAGTCAGGCTATTTGTCAGTCGATGTAGCAGCACTCCGTTGCGAGTCAGGCTATAAGATAGTCGATGTAGCAACATTTACGCATGTTTTAAAAATGTTTTTTATTAAATCAATAACAAAAACACTACTAATTAAAAAAAACTTTCTAGTCGTTATAATTGCGGTTTTTTAAAAAATTTTTAAAAAACAATTAAATTTAATGTACTTCCGCATAAATTAATTGCTTTGACATTTCGATGACAATCAAAAACAGCTTAAGAGACGAGGTAATTAAAATTGTAGTCGTAAGAGACTTTTTTTACATTAAAACGCTCTTTCGACTACACTATAAGAGTATATATATATATATATATATATATATATATATATATATATATATATATATATATATATATATATATATATATATATATACATATATATATACATATATATATATATATATATATATATATAATATATATATATATATATATATATATATATATATATATATATATATATATATATATATATACATATATATATATATATATATATATATATATATATATATATATATATATATATACATATATATATACATATATATATATATATAAATATATATATATATATATATATATATATATATATATATGTATATATATATATATATATATATATATATATATATATATATATATATATATATATATATATATATATATATATATATATATATATAAAAGCACATACACACATTATTAACCAAAATATTTGTATTAATACTTGCATCTATTTTTTGCTAATGCTTCATGTATATTGACTGTATTTCTCATCAAACGAACTTTACACTTATTAACATCGTCATCATCAAGAACAATATCAGGATGAAGAGGTGGCAGATTATGATATATAGATGATGATGGTCGATCTCTAGTTCCCCTACGCCCAAATTCATCTACATCAGAACCAGACTCATGAATTAATTTAGCATCAAACTCAACCTGAGAATTTAGTATATCATCCTGTACCTCATCTGCATAAAAACTCATTTTTCTTCCTGTCAATTCATTCTTGTGTATTTCATTTGATACCTTTGTTTCTTTATCATCATTTGAATCAATGTCATTATTACTGAGTCTACTTATTTGAGTTTTTCTTTTCAACTTATTTTCATTTTCAGATTGAACATCTTCAGATTCACTGGAAACTTCACTTATTTCATCACTGCTTTGTATCTCAAAACTGTGTTGTTTAAATGCTAAAAAACTTGGTTGTTCATTACTTTGTATCTCAAAACTATGTTGCTTGGATAATAAAAAGCTTTGTTTTCTACTACTAAGTTTTCTGTCTTTTGAAATATCTTCTTCACTTGTAGTACTATCATCTGTGTTATACTTGATGTAAACAACATCTTTAAACTTAGAAGATCCTTCAAAATTTTTAGATGATCTTCTAGTTCTACGCTTTTTGTGTTTGTTAAATATTGATTTTACTTTAACAATCTTTCCACTATCAGTTCTTTTGAACATTCCAGGCTGCCCCTCTTTTGCAAATATTACAAAATTTGAATCTTTGTCAGTGTCAGGACTTAATTCAGAATCAGAGTCCATAAATTCTGCATCTTTTACAATTTTAATAATATGGGATGGTGGAACAAATACTGGTGGAGTAGGGCGCTTGTTTAAAACCATGGCTGGTGGTGTTGGAGTACGCATTGAAGCAAATCTCTAAATCAAATTTTAAAAGATAAAAAAAAATTAGAATATTTCATTTTGTATTCTGCAAAATTAATACTTTTCAACAGTATTTTAAGAAATATCATATACTAGCATTTTTATTTTTTAGCATTGTTTTTTAGGATATTACCACTTTATTATTTTAAGATTTTGTTTTAAAAGTTTTTTTTTTTTATATAACTAATGCTGTTTATATAAAACTCCATCATGTTTTTATACACTTCAACAAAAATATACAAAAAAAAAAAGATAATACTAACAACCAATTAAATGGCTGTATCACAAAATAATTATTAATTGACTGCATTTATTGAATGTATCAGCTAACAGACTGCATTTATTTAATTTATCAATTGACTGCATTTACTGAATGTAATAATTATTTGACTGAATCAATTGACTGTATTTAATATTTTGCTGTATTTATTAACCAACCAAAAATTAACCAACTGCGACTAAACTCAAGAACAACCTTGAATTTATCATAGCGCAAAACTATTGAGAAAAAATATAAGATTAATATGAAAAAATTTATCATAGCGCAAAACTATTGAGAAAAAATATAAGATTAATATGAAAAAATTTATCATAGCGCAAAACTATTGAGAAAAAATATAAGATTAATATGAAAAAATTTATCATAGCGCAAAACTATTGAGAAAAAATATAAGAATAATATGAAAAAATTTATCATAGCGCAAAACTATTGAGAAAAAATATAAGAATAATATGAAAAAATTTATCATAGCGCAAAACTATTGAGAAAAAATATAAGATTAATATGAAAAAATTTATCATAGCGCAAAACTATTGAGAAAAAATATAAGATTAATATGAAAAAATTTATCATAGCGCAAAACTATTGAGAAAAAATATAAGATTAATATGAAAAAATTTATCATAGCGCAATATGAAATAAATTTTAATCCGGAAGGCACAAAGATAAATAAAACCAAAACTATTGAGAAAAAATTTAAGAACTCTTATGAAAAAGGGGAAATAAATATATAAAGTTCTAATGTTAACTATGTCAATTTAATGTAATGTTAACTTTTTAAGGTCTCGAGGGTTTCTATAATTACTGATGATACTTTGAAAAATTAAACCTTGATAAAATTTTGAGAAATGAAACCTGGAAAATACTTTGAACAATAAAACCTGGAAAATACTTTGAAACATACAATGAAACCTGGAAAATACTTTGAGAAATGAAACCTTAGCAAAAAAGTATGTAATTGGAAAAAAAAGGAATTAATTATTTAACTAAAATCTAAATTTAATTAAAGGATTTTTTTAAAAAAATGAACAAATGGCAATAACAAAAACAATGAAAAAAAAAATTTAAAACAACAATTTTTAACAATGAAACACACCCACCAGAATCATTAAAATGTAACAACCGTGAATATGGAAGTCATAATTCTAATTTCTAAGCATTTTAGTTAACAACTTCTATAAAATTCTAAAAACCGACTGAAAAAATGTCAAAATTTAAAAAAATTTTATTTAATATTTTTATTATTATTAGTTATTATTATTATAATAATTGTACTTTTTACTTTATTTTTATTTTTCATTCTATTATTTTTTTGACATAACTTTTTATTATGATATTTACTTTTTTAAATAGGATACCATTTACTGAATAAAATGTTTCGAACTCAATCAACACAAATGTTTTGAACTTAACCAACTAACACTGTTTCAAACTTAAACAACTAACACTGATGTTTTGAACTGCATTCCAAGTTAAAATTCAAAGACAGAAGTTTGAGATTATGAAGATTGATGATAACTTTAAATTTATATTAAAGATAAACATAAGGTAAAATAAGACAATAAGTATTTAAACTTGAGTTTAACATTTTTTTTTATTAAAATTGAGTTTTAATATTTAAAGATATTCTTCTAAAACTTTTACATTTTCATCTAATTCAATGACAATATGTGAATCACAATGATAAAAGTATCCAAATTTGGGAAAAAAAAATTGAAATATGGTGTTTTCACTAGTCAGCAAACTATCAAAAAATTTCAAAAGAAAAAAACAAAGTTAAAGATAAAGTAGAAAAGATGAAAAACTAAATAACTATTTGTGCAGTGCAAAAAAAAAAAAAAATTATCTATAAAAATTTAAACATATTATCTATTATTAAAATTACAAAAAAATAAAAAACAGTTCATAAATTTGCCTAAGATTACCTTATACCTTTGTAAACATTTAAAAAATATGTGTAAAAAAATTTTTTTTTGTCATAAAATCTAATTGTTATCATCAGAAATCTGAACCTGTAATGGTTATCATTTGTAATCTCAATTTGTTATGGTAATCATTGGAAATCTCAAAACTCCATCTAAACCTATGGCTAATTAATAAATTTTTTTCAATTCTTAAGCAGGTTTTATTTTGAATATAAAATGTGCAAAATGGTATACAAAACATCAAAAAATTCTTTTGATTATTGTATTTTTATTGTTTTTGTAAATTGACAATTTTACTAAATTACCACAAAACTAGTTTAATTGAAAAATTAAAAAAAGCGTACTTGTTATAAATATAAAAAAGTGCACATACTTGTTATAAATATAGCATATATTAACTGATAAAATTAACCATTAAATCAAATAATAAAAATTACAATATTAAAAAAGTCTTTAAATTAAATAAAAAACAATAACAATTTTACAGCATTAAAATAAGGCCTGCTATGCACACATATTTTGTAAGCACACATATTATCTATTTTTGTAAGTGCATATTAAAAATATCTATTGTACTTGAATGACTAAGTCTATTGTTACAAAATACTAAATAAACTGTTACAAACGAATTCAATTGTTTAAGTTATAACATGTGTATATAAAAAAATTATATTTATTTGATTAAAACCAAAAAGTTTTTAAAGCAGATAAATTTTTAAACCACAAATTAATTCATACTACAAAGTGAGAAGTTGTTAAATTTAAAGTTGGTAAAATTAATTATTAAAATAATATACTTTTATTATCAGTAAAAATTTGAAAAAATGAAAATGTTATAAAAACTTTTTTGTTTAAAAAAAACAGCTACAGCCATTTAATTTACAGTATATAAAAATTTATAAAAATTAATATTATAACTTTTACTATAAAATCATTTAAGCTTTGAACGTTCATGTTTCTCAGGCTTTTTCATCTTAATATCTCAAAATAAACATTTTTTCAATTATTTTTTTCTGAATTATACAGAAAAATATATTGTTAATTATAAATAATAAAAATAAAATCTATTATTATATATTTTAAATGACAACGAATAAACACTTCACAGTATTTCAAACTTAACATCCCAATAACACATTACAATATCACAAATTTAAGATCTGATTAACACATTGCAATAACTGATTGCAATATCAAAAGTTTTTTTCAAAACATTATTTTCATAATAAAATTTTGAAAATAAAACTATTAGTTACATGTAAAACTTCTAAAAAACTTGTTGCTTTAATATAAATGCTATAATATAAATTTATAAAAAACTTGGATTCTTGCTTCTAGAGCATCCATCTTAAAATCAAAACCAATTTCAAAATCATTATTTCTAGTCCACGGTGTTCTTGAACCTCTTAAACAAAGGATAGTTGAGCGAAGTTATGGCGTGGTTAAGAACGAAGTCATCTTGAAGGATAACTTCATTCCTAAACACGTCATAACAATTGACTATTTTTTATTTTGTTTTTCTGTTAGTTTTTTGGCTAGCCTACTAAAAAACTTATGACATTCTTTACCCATACGTCCATTTGTATTAAGCACTATCAAAATAAAACTCAATTAAAAAAAAAAAAATTAATTAACAACTTTTATAACTTATTATTGTAATTTATTAAAAAGTAAAATTTAAAAATTATTTTTAGTAAACAAACTTATTTAGATAACTCTTAAACATACTAATGCTAAATTTTATTATTACTTTATTATTTTTGAAGTTCACTTAAATTGAAGATTTAATAATATGCATGATTTCAAAATTTTTATTTGCAAACAAAATATTTCATGACTGTGTCATTAAATGTTTTTTTTATGATTCTTATGACAACAAATAATATTGGAGAAACAAAAGTTTGTAAAAATTTAAATACGGATGCATTTTTGTTATTTATTTTTAATTGAACTAACTTAGACAATTTTATGGTATACAAATACCCCATATAATAATTTATATATATAAATACCCTGTATTTTACATTTAAAAATATAAAGTTTTTTTTTTTGTAAGGTAGTAATATAAAAAATGTAGTTTAGGTATTTTATACAGCATGTTTTAGTATTTCAAATATTATTTACACTTTTTTTTCCATTAAATAACATGTGGTCATGATGGAACATGAAAAATGTATGTACGAATGTATGTATGTATGTATGTATGTGTGTATGTATGTATGTATGTATGTATGTATGTATGTATGTATGTATGTATGTATGTATGTATGTATGTATGTATGTATGTATGTATGTATGTATGTATATGTACACATAAATATAAAGAATTTTGTCTTTAATAAATAAATACCACCTATCCAAACTCTCAATTGATGTATTTACTAAAACCCCTAAAAAATTTCAGTTGTAATATACCCACATATATATATTATTTGTTTTTACGTTAAAAAAAATGTAAAATAATCTAAATAAATAATAGAAAATTCTACTTACAGGCTCTATATATAAAGGTGTCAACTCTCTGCTTGGTGGCTCTGGTGATGGAGAAGGTGGAAGAGATTTGATTTGCGGAATTTTTTCCATTGAAGATGATGAAGATGACAATAAAGATATTTCATCAACTTCAGACTTGAATAAAAATAATAAATCATCATATATCTTTGTGATAAACTTTTTTTACTAATAAATTTTATTGAAGATTATAGAATATATTTATAACAATAAATAAAGCATTACACCTCATTTGCATCTGTGTCAACCAAACAACAATAAATAAAGCATTACACCTCATTTGCATCTGTGTCAACCAAACAACAATAAATAGATCATTATACTTCATTTACATCTGTGTCAACCAAACAACAAATAAATATTTACACCTCATTTGCATCTGTGTCAACCGAGCAACAATAAATAAAGCATTAAACCTCATTTGCATCTGTGTCAACCAAACAACAATAAATAAAGCATTAAACCTCATTTGCATCTGTGTCAACCAAACAACAATATATGAACCATTACACCTCATTTGCATCTGTGTCAACCAAGCAACAATAAATAAAGCATTACACCTCATTTGTATTTGTGTCAACCAAACAACAATAAATAAATCATTAAACCTCATTTGTATCTTTGTCAACCAAACAGCAATAAATAAAGCATTAAACCTCATTTGTATCAACAGAATATATATAACAGAAGAAGGGTTATTAAATTTATTGAAAGTAACACGCAATAGTGACATAAAAATTGAATATAAACATAATCACACAGCAATAACAACAAGAAAAACAACAACAACAATAACAAAATATAAGTTGTTTATAATGAAAAAGTGCAACACATAATAAAAAATAAAATAAACAACTGAATATGTTGAACACAACAATGAAAATATTATTTTAAGTCAACAAATCTTCTGACTGGATGAAATTTTTTTGTTGAAAAATGAAAATAAGCAGTTATAAAACTGTTTATAGATTCCTGTAAAAAGATCTGGTCCATCAATCAACCAATGCAGACATTACTTTTAATTTTTGACTTTTGAGCCATTTGATCTCAAAAATTCCACCATTTGATGCTTATGTAGTAGAACATAGGATAAAGTATTTTTTAAATGTACTATCAATAAAAATACTGTAATAAGAAGCAATTGGGCTGTACAGCAGAACAACCACCTTATTCCATAGAAGCTGTTTCAAACAATTGCTAAATTTTACTAATTGAAAGTGAAAAAATTATTAATTTTACTATATAAATAATGCATGTTAAAAATTTGACTAACCTCAAAAACATCTGAGTAATCATCTTTATGTTTCTGATTCAACTTTGACTAAGTGAGACAAAAAAAAGAGTAATTGTGTTAGAGAATTATATAATATTGTACATATATAACATTGTACATATATAACATTGTACATATAGAGCCCATGATATTGCATGCTTTTTTTAAACAATATTTCTTTTAACTTACTGTTATTAGAAAACAATTTATACTTTATAACTTTTTTTTATTATAATTTAATAGAATTTGTGTGAAAATGAAATTTAATTAATGTATTTATACTATTCTGAATACTTTTATTGTTATTTCAAGAACTATATAAATTTGTATAAATTAAAAATTTTAGAAAAACAAAAAAAAAAAATTTTAATAATAAAAACCAGTTGTATTTTTTCTGCTATAATTTTTTGCTATTTATTTATAAACAGTTTTTTTGATTAAAAAAAAATTCAATTCAGAAAAAACCAGCAAATGTAAGCTTATATTATTTATAAGTTAAATTCAGAAAAAACCAACAAATGTAAGCTTATGTTATTTATAAGTTATATTTATAAAAAACCAGCAAATGTAAGCTTATGTTATATATAAGTTAATGATCAACTTTTTTTTCCATGTGTTATTACTTATTTTAATATTTTAAATTTGCCAGTATGTAATATATAAATAGCTTAAAGTTTTATATAGTTATTATTATTTTTTATTATTATTATTTATATTTTATATACCAAGTTTTTTCAAAATAAAAGAAACATGCTAAGCCTTTTGACTAATTAATAAAATTAGTGGTTGAAATTTATAACATAACAGAGTAAAACGGGGCAGATTGAAATAAAGGACATAATAAAATAGTTGCGACAATTTTTATTCGTTTGCTCTTAACTAACAAATATACTTTTTGCTAATGTTTTGCGATCATGTTGTAGAGAATCTTTTTCTGAATAAGATGAATAAAATGCTGGCTAGGAATCTTTTTCTGAATAAGATGATATAAATGCTGGCTAGTAGTAGTAGTGGCTAGTAGTAGTAGTGGCTAGTAGTAGTAGTGGCTAGAAGTAGTAGTGGCTAGTAGTAGTAGTGGCTAGTAGTAGTAGTGGCTAGTAGTAGTAGTGGCTAGTAGTAGTAGTGGCTAGTAGTAGTAGTGGCTAGTAGTAGTAGTGGCTAGTAGTAGTAGTGGCTAGTAGTAGTAGTAGTGGCTAGTAGTAGTAGTAGTAGTGGCTAGTAGTAGTGGCTAGTAGTAGTAGTGGCTAGTAGTAGTAGTGGCTAGGAATCTTTTTTTCAAAGTTAAACTTCATGTTTCTGGAAAAAGTGCATTAAAAATGGGAATGGTGAGCTATATGGTGACTTGAAATAACTCTGGCAGATATGCTCATCAAATTATCTGATTGGTTGAACATAAAATGATATCATTACACTAGTAAACAACTATTTTCAACATTAAAGTCAACTTCATCTGTTTTCCAAGGGTACATCACCAACTGGTTTGTTTATGTTTCATCTAACATCATACATTATTTTAAAATAATAAAAATATCTGTTTAAAAGTTGGTACTTAAGTGGTCCAGCGGATGCTACATATGCAAAACCTCTGGATAGTAGAGGATAAAACTCATGCAATAATAAGTTATTAAAATAATTTAATAATTAATTAATTATTAAATTATTTTAACAGTTAATTAATTATTAAATTATTTTAACAATTAATTAACTAATAAATTATTTTAACAATTAATTAATTATTAAATTATTTCAATAATTACTTTACCATTTAGTTTGACTAACTGGTTATTTAATTAAATAAATAGAATAAGTTCAATTGAATTGTTTATTTCAGAAATGCATAAAGTGCGCTTTTTAAATTTGTTGAAAAAGTTTGGGATAAATTACAGTTTTATGCAGAGACAGAGTTTTAAAATTTATCAAAAGAAATTTTCAGTCAATTGCGCTAAAAACTTTTCAGCTCTGGTGAAGTTTTTACACACATGCCAACAGTTACTAGATTTCAAAAGATTTGTTTACACCTAATATCAACATAATAAATATATTGTATAGTATCAGCTAAATAGTATCAGCTAAAGTCAACTTTCTGCAACATCCAATATTGTTGTAACTCCAGCTATTTAAAAAAAATTAAAAAGAAGTTAAAAAACAAAAGTTCAACTGTTTGCTAAAAAAAAATCAAAAAGAAGTTAAAAAATGAGTTCAACTGTTTGCTGTAACTGTTTGCTGCAACTTTGCAATACTTGTTTTGCAACCAACATTTTGACACAAAAAAAGAGAAAAAATCAGACATGTCAAAACTCAAAAGGAAGTGTCTCAACAAATTTGTAATACTGATGGATTGAAAGATACTGACAACAAAAAAGCAGTAAAGCATGCTAGGAAATAACATAGCCTTGGAAACATCATAAGCTTAACTTTGATGATGAGCTGCAAATAAATCATGCAACTACATCATAACAACAACAAATAAACAACAACAACAGCAAAAACAATAGCAAACTAAATCAAGAGTAAAAAGTACCAATAAGTTAAAATAATGAATGGTATCACTGCAAAAACTCAAAATGCTTGCTTTGGCTTTGTCAAAAATTTTGCATTGTAATGTGATTTTTAAAAAAACTTTTTCATTTCCCAAATATAAATGTTATAAACAAATATTAATTAAATAAAATTTCTTAAAAAACTAAAAAATATTTTATTTGATTTTGTATATATTTAAATACAACTCCAAATTCTCAACAACTATGAAAAAAAAAAACTTTTCTGAATAAAAAAAAATAAAAATAATAATAAACTACTTCATTTAACTCCATTTTACTTTATGCTTGAATAAAAATACATTATTTTTATTAATTGTAATTAGGTATCATAAATAATAGATATGCTTTTATGAAATTGTTTAAGTAATAGTAAAAATCTTACCTACAAAAAAAATGCATCTGCATAATAGAACTCTCACTCTCTTAAGTTCAATGTTAATCTGAACTACTTAATGTTAATCTCAACTACTTAATGTTAATCTTAACTACTCAATGTTAATCTCAACTACTTAATGTTAATCTCAACTACTTAATGTTAATTTCAACTGCTTAATGTTAATCTTAACTACTTAATGTTAATTTCAACTGCTTAATGTTAATCTTAACTACTTAATGTTAATCTCAACTACTTAATGTTAATTTCAACTACTTAATGTTAATCTCAACTACTTAATGTTAATCTCAACTAATTAATGTTAATTTCAACTGCTTAATGTTAATCTTAACTACTTAATGTTAATTTCAACTGCTTAATGTTAATCTTAACTACTTAATGTTAATTTCAACTGCTTAATGTTAATCTTAACTACTTAATGTTAATCTCAACTACTTAATGTTAATTTCAACTACTTAATGTTAATCTCAACTACTTAATGTTAATCTCAACTACTTAATGTTAATTTCAACTGCTTAATGTTAATCTTAACTACTTAATGTTAATTTCAACTGCTTAATGTTAATCTTAACTACTTAATGTTAATTTCAACTGCTTAATGTTAATCTTAACTACTTAATGTTAATCTCAACTACTTAATGTTAATTTCAACTACTTAATGTTAATCTCAACTACTTAATGTTAATCTCAACTTCTTAATGTTAATTTCAACTGCTTAATGTTAATCTTAACTACTTAATGTTAATCTCAACTGCTTAATGTTAATCTCAACTACTTAATGTTAATCTCAACTACTTAATGTTAATTTCAACTACTTAATGCTAATCTTAACTACTTAATGTTAATCTCAACTACTTAATGTTAATCTTAACTACTTAATGTTAATCTTAACTACTCAATGTTAATCTCAACTACTTAATGTTAATCTTAACTACTCAATGTTAATCTCAACTACTTAATGTTAATCTCAACTACTTAATGTTAATCTCAACTACTTAATGTTAATTTCAATTGCTTAATGTTAATCTTAACTATTTAATGTTTATCTTAACTACTTAATGTTAATCTTAACTACTTAATATTCAACATTAAAAGAATTGGCTTTGAAATTTAAGAAAACTTTTAATATTTTTAACAATAAAGCTAACTACTTATTTTTTAAAATGAACTTTATATTAAAAACATATTTAAATACACTGATCACATTCGTAAATCACTTCATTTTTAAAAATGAACTTTGTATTAAAAAAACATTTAAATACACTGATCACATTTGTAAACCTCTTAATTTTTAATATTTTAAATTTAACATCTTTTACATGGTTTACACATTTGCCTTTTGACATATTTGACCTTTGCTGATTTTTTTTAAAACAATAACAGAATGCAGTAAACATCAGACTCAGAATGAGTAAACTTGTTAAAAAAACCATATCTTGTTATTTCACAATCAAGTGGCCTGAAGCAAAGGGATTTTATAACTGAATTAACTCTCTTTTAAAATCTTAAAAAAACTTCTCTTAAAAACATTCTTAAAAGGCAGAAGCATATAAGTTTGTACATGTTACTTATGTATCTTACTGACCATACAAGTTTGTACATGTTACTTATATATCTTACTGACCATACAAGTTTGTACATGTTACATATGTATCTTACTGACCATACAAGTTTATACATGTTACTTACATATCTTACTGACCATACAGGTTTGTACGTGTTACTTACATATCTACTGACCATACAAGTTTGTACATGTTACTTATGTATCTTAGTAACCATATTAACATAATAAATAAGTTTTAAAGATCTTTCAAAGAAAATCTTAATATATTAAGACTATTTAAACTTATTTTCTTTAATTAAACTTTTATTTGACAAAATGTATAACTAAATCCTAGTATTTATTCTAAATACTGAACTAATTTAATATTGTGTCAATTAAAAACTAAAAAATCAACCTACCTGAACTTGTTTACTATTATGGAGAAAGCCATTACGATGTATAATATTTCTTATATACTGCTGTTTTTCAAAATGCTTTTTCTAAATGATAAATATATTGTTATGTTAGAATAATTGGCTAAAATTTTAAATGAAGAATGAGAAAAATCATGAAGAACTGACTTAAAAAGCTGTTAAAAATTTTCATGTTTTGTACAGCTATGATATAAAAAAAATTTTAATGTAAAATTTGAAAAAATTAGGATTAGGAAGAAGAATTTCCAAAATCTCAAAAAATCTCCAAATGTCAAGATATAAAACAGGGGAATGCTGGTTTAAAACAGCCTATGCACGATTTTGTTCCAACATTTTTAAATTTTATTTTTAAAAAGGACTTATAAATATATAATATAGTATGCCTTTTTTCAGTTAAATATTAATTTTAATAATTTATATATAATTTTATATTTAAATATTATTTTGTAAGAAAAACATAATGGTTTCAGCATGAAGTTTCCTAAACCTTTTCTTAAAGCATTTAAAGATGTCTCGTTAATGGTTTTTAATTGCATTTGTTATATTTGTCACCATCATTTTCTTACTTCAGAATGTTTTAACTTTTTACTTCAAAATGTTTTAAAAATTTTTGAATGATAAAAAAAACAACAACTACAAATTGTCTTTTTTTTTAACATATTAAGGGAAGACATGCAGTGTGTCCTAAATCTTAATTGTATATAATTGTATATAATTGCATATAATTGCATATAATTGTATATAATTGTATATAACTGCATATAATTGTATATAATTGTATATAATTGTAATAATTGTATATAATTGTATATAATTGTATATAATTGTATATAATTGTATATAATTGTATATAATTGTATATAATTGTATATACTGTATATAATTGTATATAATTGTATATAATTGTATATAATTGTATATAATTGCATATAATTCTATATAATTGTGTATAATTGTATATAGTTGTATATAATTGTATATATTGTATATATTGTATATAATTGTATATGATTGTATATATTGTATATAATTGTATATAATTGTATATAAATTGTATGCAAAGTATTTTGAGCTTAATAAATTGTATCTAAGAATAGGATAAAATTATTTAAGTCTGGTCATGTTTCTTATATCCTAACTTTTGTTATATATAAGCTCTGTGCTTTTTTTTATAATTTTTAAATATTTTTAAATACATTTACTATGACTGTTTATGAGTAAGGATTAAGTTGGGTTATTTATGAGTTAGGATTAAATTACAAGTTAATAGAAAACAAAAAAAAGAGTTAAAAAGCAAAAAAAAGATGACTTAAAAAACTGTTAACTGTATGAGTCAGTAAAGTATGAAGCAGAGAGATGGGAATAAAAATGGAAATAAGCTCTAATGCACCTATGTTCAAAGAAAAAACTAGAAAAAGTTTTTGGACTATGAAGGAAGAGTTATAACAAAAAAAATGCACTGAATGATGATTGTAAATAATGAATCATGCAAGATTGTGTTGTAGCAGGTGAAACAAAAGATAATAGCTTGCTTGAGTAGCACCCATGATAGTATTTGTAAAATAAAAAAAGAGAGACAAACTAACGACAAGGTGACAGACTCAAGCTTAGTAGCTAAGATTTGGATTTTTGGACCTAAAAGAAGGCCAATTTTAAAAGAGCCAATAACAACAGCACTCCATAAAAAGAAAAATAAGATACTTATAGAGGTAATAGGAGTAAGAAAAAAGCAGGATAAATAGAAACAAACTTAGCAGATACTAACATTGAAATGAATATGGTTTCCATAAGCAGTCAGGAGTAAAATATAATTTGAGATATATATAAATTACATAAATTAAAGGACTCAGTAAACGTGTTGCCATTCACCAAGATATCAACAGTACCACAATGATGGTTAGCAGTAAGTAAATGAGTGTTGATTGGATAAAGACTTACCAGCCACTGTAAGCCTCAAACTGCTATAGAAGAGAGATCATATTTAAGTTGGCTTCTAAGCAATTAAAAAGTTATCACTACTGAAGTATATAGTTGCATCACCAGAAAATAGAATCTTACGCTTTGGATGTAAGATTTTCAATATAATTCAAAAAAATAATATAATACTTAATTTAATATAAATTAAAAATGGGACAAAGGGTGCAACCTTAAAGTAACCCTTGAGTTTGTGAAATAAGGGAATCATTATCCGTAAACAACAACTTTAATACAACAATTAGAAAGAAATAATTCATAAAAAAAAAAAAAAAATTAAAGAACTTAATTTAGAATTTAAAGAAGTTTAAGTGAGAAGTAACTTTAGTAATGAAAGCCAAAGTAACAGAAGAACTTTAGCAATAGAAGCCAAAGTAACAGAATGTCTAATAATGGATTAACTTCTTTCTCAGTGATGTCAGGATCTATATAGTCATTCGAATTAAAGAAAATGATTTTCGCAAAATAATGTTCTGCCTTATTCTTGGGAGAAGTATTAAGATCAGACCCATGTATAATGGATTAGACCCATGTATGATGGATCAGACCCATGTATGATGGATCAGACCCATGTCATGATAGAATGTTAAACTTGTCTTATTTAATGACTAAAGTATTCGAAATAGTCTAAATTATTATTATTGTATTTACTAAAAGAAATAGTAATAATGAAATTGGAAATCAATTACTTAACTGCTGTTAAAACCGTAAAAATTGGTGAAAATTGGTGAAAAGTAAATATTTTTATGAAAAACATGTAAATATGGAATTGTTAGTTTTTTAAAACAAAAAGATATTTAGAACACTTATTTTCCCATTTAAAAAAAAATGATATGAAACTTTTGATTGCAAATTTCAATTGATGTCTGGTAATTAAAATCTTGATTTTCAAAAAGAAAACTTATACGACTTAATACAACAATATGACTTATAAAACTTGCATATATGACAAATATTTTTCAAAAAATTTAGGTTCAACTCGATTATTTAAAGACCTTCAAAGTTCAAAACTCTTACTCTGAGTTTTTCATTAAAATATTTTTAAAATATTTTATTGTCAGAAAGTATTAAAAAGCTCAGTGAAAGAATCCTTTTAAGTTAAGATGAGGTAAAAATGAGTTGGAATCACTTGGAAACAGATAATATACAGGTAATATAAACTTTGATTTCATAGACAAAAAATATTATATAGCAATAGCTAAGTAATGGAAGAATGAATGGAATGAATAGAATCAAAATTGTATAGACTAAACATGAATGAATGAGACAAACATATATGAGATAAAAGTTATATAAATGATATAATAAGTCAAAAATAGTGTTGATGGTGCTGATGTTTAAAGATGTAATAGTAAGATAAATATTCTGTGTTAATAGTCAGATAAATACTCTTATGACAAGTCTGTTTATTGTGAAATTTAATATCTGATGACACCAAGTCTGTTTATTGTGAAATTTAATATCTGATGACACCAAGTCTGTTTATTGTGAAATTTAATATCTGATGACACCAAGTCTGTTTATTGTGAAATTTAATATCTGATGACACCAAGTCTGTTTATTGTGAAATTTAATATCTGCTGCAGAAATTAAAAAAGTATAACATTAAAACAATGCGAAAAAAAAAAAATCATTTTAAAAAAAAAAGGTTTGCATGCTTTATTTATTTAATTTAACAAAAAATGTCAAACAAGTTAATAAACAAATGTCAAGCAACTTGATAAACAAATGTCAAACAACTTGATAAACAAATGTCAAACAACTTGATAAACAAATGTCAAACAACTTGATAAACAAATGTCAAACAACTTGATAAACAAATGTCAAACAACTTGATAAACAAATGTCAATCAACTTGATAAACAAATGTCAAACAACTTGATAAACAAATGTCAAACAACTTGATTGGTCAACTTCAAATGGTACATAAAAACAATAACTATTACTTTAAACATTTTATAATTGAACAAAAATTTAACCTTCCATAAAAACCCAAAAATAAGAGAAGTACAAAAACAAAAACTACAAAAAAAGTCAAATAAAAAAAATACTTTTTCACTTAACTATAATGAAAATACTTAAATAATCAAAATACTGAACAATGCCACACACTACCATACCATAGCACTACTATTCACACCACACTTCATACTATAAAATTCACATCACACACAAATTATAATATTTTATGTTATTTTATAAATTTGTTTTAATTACCATTGCAGCAACACTGTAATCAGATTTTACAGGTCGTAATTTAGAAATTACAGCATTTGGTTTTCTATTGATCAAATGTCCATTTAAGTCATACTTTGCTGTAATTGGTTTTTTTTTTGAATTTAATTGGGGATTAAAAGAATTAACAAAAGAATAACTTGAAGTAGATCGCTCATTAAACAAATCTTTTTGGTTTGTTAACTGATAATTTGATTGGAATTGTTTTCTCGGTCTCTCAGAAAAACTATGTTCATCTTTTTTTTCATTTAGTTCAGATTGCTTAATTGGTATCACTCGACTATCTGTGAAATTACTGTCAGCCCAGTGCGATTTTTTTTCAAAATTAAGGTGTGGTTCAGAGTTACTGCTTTCTTGAACATTTGCTTTGTGATTTGATTGTCGAGATCCGGTTGAACTTTTGATCCACTAAAAAATAAAAATACAAAAGTATTAATAAGTATTAATTTATAGATATACAAAAATTACAAAATTTATAGTTGAAATTAAAATAAATGAAAGAGTGGTTAGAAAAAAAAGGTTTTAGTAATGTACCCTTTGCTTTAGGGGAGGTACATCAAAATCATCAGTCAAATCATATTTTGCAGTGTGTGGCCTTTTGCTAATGACATTATTATTTGTTAAATAAACTGTTCGAGTTGTAGAATTCGGTTTAGCAGATTGAACATCACGAATTTTTTTTGAAGGGTTTCCATAAATACTGAAATTTAAGTGACAATAATCTCAAAATAAAAACATTAATAAAATTACACCATAATAAAATTAAAATATCTTACTTATTTAAATTTGGTCTCAATACATGATCTCCTCGTAATGCTCTCAACTAAAAATAACAGAAATCTTTAAACTAACAATAGCTGACTATATCTTTAACCTACCTAGTGTTTTTATGACAGCAGAATAACATTTTCGCATTAAAGTATTAAGATCGGCTAGAAATTCATCATCTCAACCTTAAGATGCATTCTCTTGAACTTAATTCACAATTTTTAAAAATTTAATAAATTCTTTTTTTTATTAAGATTATTTTAGATTGTTGCATATAAAAAATATATAATTTATACAAAAAAATGTTTTTTTTGTGCAAAAAAATTTTGTACAAAAAATTTGTGCTGTATACTCTATGTATTTATTACTAAAAATTATTTTGATTTGTAAAACAATATACTAAATATACATAATTAAATAAAAACACAGTAAAAAACATATTCTGTTCCTTTTTATAGGCTCCTCAAAAATTTAGAGGTGTTGAGGCCTTTAGATGTGGTTGTAATTGAGTAAATTACCTAAGAAAAAATTTTAATAACACTTGCTTTAAACCTTGACAATATTTTTCTGATAATAAGTTGCCTCGTCATGTATGAAAATATTGAATTTTTCAATTCAAAACCAATCAAACACATTTTTTAAAAATACAATACAAAAAGTACAACCTATCTGGAATTGAAGCATAGAGTTAGTAGTTGGCCAATACTAAATTTGTTTTAAACTGCAAACTCTTTGTCTAAAAAATTGCTACATTTCAACAGTCCATTCTATTTACAAGAATTGAAGCAATTAGAATAATTTTTTAGCCTGGGTTTTATATAGTATGATACAATCAAAAAATTAATTCCTTAGCATCAGTATCAAACTGTCAAGATGCTCACATTTACATTAGGAAGCAGTTAAGTAAAAACTTAATGATGTAAGATGGTTTCCTATTGGTTGATACCTATGCAAAAGCAATACGATTGCAAGCATTTTTTGCATGTGATAATCTAGTCTGTTGAAAAAATCCATATTTTGAACTTTTCAGTAATTTTCTATTATAATTGTGAGAGGATCTTTTTGTTGAAAACTATTTATAAATATGTGTTTGGTATATACTACCATACTTATAAAAGATTTTTTTGGTTTATACTACCACTCATAACTGTTAGAATGGTCATACTTTTTGATATAAGATATCAAAGTTTATCTAACTATTGGGAGAGAAACTGAAAACAAAATCTGAATTATATCTTATTTTCCTACTTATTAAGTTTACATAAAAATTAATATAAAGTCCCATTAGATTAGTTATAATTTACTTGCCTATAAATCACCTATAGCAAAAATAATACATATTTTTGGCATTCTACTTAGTGATTTTTCCAATTTGTCAAAGTCAGTTTTATGCCATTTACTAATAAGTTCCACATCTTTTGCATCATGAAGCATTATTTTTAGACATTATTTTTAATTCGTCACATCAAAATCTAATAGGAGAGATCTGATGATTAGGGAGGCTAAATCATTCTATTCAATATTTGATTGTTCTTAAACTCAAATAACTTATTCAATGTTGTGAGGAATATGTTTTGGATTTAAGCATTAAGTTATTTTCTTTAAAAAAAAATGGCTTCCTATTAACCCAACTTTCTAAAGGTATAACATGACTTTTTAAAAGTGTCCAACTGAACTGCTTATGTCATTATTCTCTCTATTATTACAATGTCACCTGTGGTATTCCAACCAAAACAGCCCCACACTTTAACATTACACCCATTACGTTTCACAATCAATAATACACACTGTTATATCATACATTCAACTTCTTTTTAAGATAACAATCTTCTGTTGAAACTAAAGATCTAAAACTTCGACATGTCAGTCGAAGTTTTAGATCTTTGTTTCGTAAGATCAATGTTTAAATTGGACTGACATGTCGAATCCATTTTTTATGATCATTTTACTATGTAAAAAATCCATTTTTTAAGTAGTTTTGCCCACTTAAGCACTTTTATTATTTTTATGATTTTTATACCATTTTAATCAAAATACTTTTATGCTTTTTAAATAAAACAAAAAAAAAAACATGATTAGTTAAATAAAAAAATTTTTTAAAAATTTTTATACAGTAATGTTAATAACACGGTAGTGAATATAACTTTTCTCATAAGCATACTTTGTGTTTTAATTTAAAACAGTTAAAAAACAAGACTGTAAAAACTTATCTTTCAATAAATAGTCTACCTGCCAAAACTGAAACCCTCAGTCAATGTAAGTACACTCAGCTGTGACTATGACAAGATAAATCAGTTAATGTATATATACTCTGTTGCGCTTATTACAAAATCAATCAATGTATGTACACACAACCACATCTATGGTTTAATTAGTCAATCAATTGAAACTCACTGTGCCTATCCCTAATAATCAACCCAGTAAAACAAAAACTAAAGTAAAACACTAAAAAATATATTTCTATTTAATATTTTAATAAAAAGTTTTTGTTGTTTTGTGTGCCCCAAGCTTGAGAGCAACAAATTGATAAAATATTTATATTATTCTTGACTAAATTTCATCAATAATTTTTTAATTTTATAAAAAATCTCTTAGCATTTAAAAATTATAGTTTTGTAAAATTTGTAACCCCCCCCCCTCAAAATAAGGAAGGTTCAAAATTGGTCATAATTTTTTAATGCTAAGAGAGTTATGAATTTTAAAATTTATTGATGAATGTAAATTTAGTTACGAATAGTAAAAAAGTCATTTTATCAACATATTGCTCTAAGGTTTAGGAAAGGTGCTAAAAATATTTATTTTTTTCTTAGACTTTTTTTTTTTTTGGCAAAAATATTAGGAATTTTATTGTACTCAGCTCTAATGATCACAATTTTTTTGAAAAGTATTTGAAATAAGTACAAACATAAATTTTTTGATTAGATTTTTTACATGGTAATATATATTAAATATAAAATAAAAAGTTAAAAAAAAAACATTTATTAAAGAAACTTACTTTATATAAAAATGCTATAAATTATTTTTAATAATGATTATTAAATGCATTTTATAGGATTATATAAACGTTAAAATATTGTTCATTGAAAAAACTTACTCTATACAAATGTAATAAATAATCATGTTCTTTCCACCTTTTGTCTAGCAATATACTACTTGGAACTAAAGGTGCATACTTTGTACGCATAGAAGACATACCAGTTAAGTTTAAAATTCAAGATCTTTTCCTCATTTAAAACAAAATGTTGAACAAGTGTATTAAATCATTTAATACACAATTAACAAAAATTATTTTAGTAAAAATATTTTATCTCATAGATAATATCAATCATTCCATATGACATTTGCATAGACATCTTTATTTACTTTTTTCAAATTACCTTAGAAACCTAAAATTTAAAACTCATCAATAATTAAACAAATATGAATATAACAATTCATCAATTCGTTTATTCACCAATTCATTTGAGGTTCATACAGTTAAATCATTGAATACTTTTATATATTTCACACTTTTTCAACAGTTTTTTTTTTACTATTTTAATTTTACAAATTTTGTTTTTATTTTTTAAATATTTTACTGAATTTTTGTTTTTATTTTAAAAATATTTTACTGAACATTTTTTATTTTTTAAATATTTTAATGAATATTTTTTATTTTTTAAATATTTTACTGAACATTTTTAATTTTCTAAATATTTTACTGAACATTTTTTATTTTTTAAATATTTTAATGAACATTTTTTATTTTTTAAATATTTTACTGAACATTTTTTATTTTTTAAATATTTTAATGAATATTTTTTATTTTTTAAATATTTTACTGAACATTTTTAATTTTCTAAATATTTTACTGAACATTTTTTATTTTTTAAATATTTTAATGAACATTTTTTATTTTTTAAATATTTTACAGAACATTTTTTATTCCAAAAACCAAATTTTATAAGTTAATTAAGACAACTTAAAAAAAGTTTATAAAATAAATAGAAATGTATTTGTATAGTATATATTTGTAATATATTTTTATATTATAAAAATTCTAGTGAAATATTTGCAAAAAACAAACAAAAAATGTTTTTTAATTACTTATGCAATAAAATAAAATACATTAAGTTTTATATGTTTTGAGACAGTAGGAGTAGATTCATAGTTTGATACAGTTGATGGAGTAGTAAAAAAAAATTTAAAAAAAAAGAAATAACTTTTGAAAGAAAAAAAAATTAACATATGTACTCTCTATTTTACAATTTTTTTGAAAAAAATTTATTCTCTTATTCAAAATAAGCAAATTTGCTAAAGTCCTTCTGCATCTATCAGAACTAATTTTGTGACCATATTATTGTCACACAATTAGTTCACAATTAGTACAAACTTATTGCACCATCTTTTTGATCTTCATCATTGAGAATAGAATTTGATCAAACAATTTTTGGATTTTATTTTGAATAAACATGTTTTTAAATTATTAATGAAAACAAATAAAACAAAATTTTTTTTAATTTCATAAAACTTTATTAAAAGTTTTTTTAAAAAAAGTATTTGATATTTGAAGCTTTATTAATTGAAACTCATGCTTAAAGAAGAGTAGTAACAACACATAGTTTTGAGAAAATTAAAACATTGAGATAAAACATTGTAATATAGGGTGGGTCAAAGTTTTATATTAAAAATCCACATAGTGTGGGGACTTCATTAGGCCCTAAATAAGATATTTATACAAAAGAAAAAGAAATTTTAAGATCCCACACATCTTGCACAAATTTTTCCAAAATTGTTGAAAAAAAATTAATTTTTCATTATGCATAATTTTATTTATACATAATGAAAAATTATGTATAATTAAAATTATATATAATGAAAAATTAATTTTTTATATTAATCATTTAATAAATAAAATTAATCATTCAACAAACTTCAGTTGTTTTTACTTTGATTTTTTAATGTATTTACATTATGTAAACCAGTATATGTAAAAAAAAATATACTAAACATAAGCATTGTTTTAAGGATGTGTTTTGATGTAAAACCAAGTAGAAGATATATTTGCAATTATGTGTACAAAATCAACTATTGCTGCATCAGGGTCGACAGTCAAAACATAAATTCGCAATATTCTGCTGGCTCGTGTCAACCATCTTGCATTGTGCGATGGCTCAGAAGAATGATGCTGAAGCAATGGAGAAACATATCCAGAAGAAATGGCATGGCACATTTCATATAGATAATGTTGATCTTCACTTAATTCTGTTACTAATCCCTGAGGAATCAATTCTAAATTTTCCTGAAGAAAATCAACAACTGGTCTTTTAGTCAAATCCTCAAGTTTTTTTTTTTTTTTTTTTTTCATTTTACAAAACCACAAAGATTTGTTGGTCCACTACTTTGACCATCTATTTTAGAAAATTTGTCAAAAAAGGCAGTTCATTTAAATGCAATAAGCAAATTAACTGCTATAACGGTCATTCAATAAAAAATTCAATTTGTTTAATTACTCCGCTGATTCTACCAGTGTTCATAGGAGTTTTGTAACATAATATTGCTTTTATTGTTTCTGTGCTATTGTTTTCAATAACACATGAAATAATTTCTTCAGTTATGCTGATAACTTTCCTGTTTCCTGGAGTTACATGGTCAATGTATCAGCCTAGTGGGTAACCAACAAAAACATAGTGCTCTTCTCTGACAGAACCATTCTTGATTAAAGTTTTATTGATTCCTCCATCATATCCGAATACTTCAAAACCATTTTGTTCTCTTGGTAAAGTTTTAACTTTTGTTTCCTCTACTTTGAATTTTTCCCATTATACCTTTTTTTGATCCTGAGTGTTTGATTCATTTAACAAACCTATGTCCTGCAATGCTGCATTAACTATTGCTGCTGTTGCATGACTGCTAACTCTTTAGCGATTTGATGTGGCAGCAAGTCTAGGATAGCATAATCTATTTTGTTTCATAGCCATTTTATCACTGGAAAGAAATTTTCTGAGCTACTACTATTACTTTCAAAAGAAGTTTCTTCAAAAAGGGTTTCAATATTAATGTTGGAAGTTGTAACAATAATTTTTTGTTCAGCATCCTCTTTTAACTTTTGTTTCCTTTTATAAGTTCTTTTCTTTTTTGCTGAAACAATTTTATCAATAAATCCTAATTGGTTCATTCTCTTCTTCAAGCCCAATAAAATTTTCCCATTCTAAAACATTTTTATGTTGTTATCTTTGCAGTCAATATCTCTATCGCAGCATGCACAAATTTCAAACATTTCATCAAAGGTTTCTTTATTTTTTTGGAATTTATCACTTTCTCTTCTGTTAACAGGAGTTTTGTTCAGAAGTTTGCAAATCAAGTCAAAAAATCATTGTAAACCTAGGCAAACAATACAAATTTCTCAACAAACTAATTCTATTTATTTGTGTTATTAAAACTAAGTTAAGCTAAAGTTAAGTAGTCTAAAATTTATTCTTTTGCTCGTTGCGCTTTCGTCAGTGGAGACTGTTTAAACATTAGGAATTTTAATTGAAATAACAAAATAAAAAAGATTGCTGTTCTATGCCAAACCCTTAGCCAACTTCTTTGTAGCAGCACTTCTTTGTAGCAGCAAGCTTTAAGATAGTCAATGTAGCTGCACTTCCTTTTTGCAGCAGGATATAAGATAGTCGATGTATGCACCAAAGTAATAATAATTCTTTATAAGGGTGTCCCAAAAAAAAAAAAAAAAAAGCTTCCTACTGATTTCCATTCTATGTGATCTAAATAAATACTAAAAAAATTTGACAATTTTATTTTGACAGGAAGTGCTAGATGTAAAATCTGCGTTTTACTGTTTTAATGTAAAGCTGACATTAATAAAAAACACAATTTTTTTACATTTTAGAAAATTAAAACAAAACAATTAAATGCGTATAAATCATTTCCAATTGTTTTCTACTATTTAACTTGATTATATTTATAAATATGAAAATACAAAATTAAAAAAAAATAAAAAAATAGTACATGAAAACTAATATTTATTAGCAAATTTAAGATTTTATTGTGGTGAAACATTTCTAAAAAAATACAACTTTTTGAACAGTTCCCAAGCTCAATCAGAGCTAACAGCATTCTTAGCTTTGTTTCAGAAGGAACTTCTTTATCCCCAAAGGACAAAACACAGAGTTGCGGAGTTAAGTACCACATATGGCGTCCCATGCTGAGAAACAAAGCATTTCCAATATTCTAATTGACTTTTCTCAATGCATAGGCTGTCTAGATAGCTTTCATATCATTGTAGGGAGCCAGAAATCCTAAAAAACTTTTCAAAAACCATGGAACATAGCAAATTGCAATGAAGAAACTTGCATCCTTCAATTGCAGCACTTCTTTTTCTGTCAAGATATTACTGATATCTTTGGTCATATAAAGAGTCAGGATGCAGATCGCATCTGCTAAAAATCTTGCCTCATGGCAGGCGCCAGGTTGATGGAACTTAAAATCTTGTACTTCCGCTCCAAGGAAGAAGGAGGCAAGCTTACAAACTATACCATAATCATTCCTTGAAAACACCAAATCAGTAGTTGCATTAGTCAAAAATTTCTTAGCTTCCTCTACAACAGTGCGAAGAACAGAGCCAATCTTCAGATCATCTCTTTACCAGTCCAATTTACATAAATTTTTCACTTCATTAACTTTCTCACTGATTTTAGGCCACTTGTTCTTTAGCTTGGCATAAAGAGCTCTTTTTGGACCTTTAGTTTTCTCACCAGTAAGAGCAGCTATATGATGAGATACATGTACTTTATATATGTGTCTCCTACATATTATCAACAAAATTGGTATTTTCAAAATATCTGTAAGAATTTGGACTGCTCCATTGACTCCGCCTGTATTGCTTGCAGTTGTATCACAGCATATACCAATGATCTGCTCTTTACATCCGTAATATTCTTAAAGATTGTGCATTTGTTCTGCTTGGTCAACTCCCTTTGAAGAGGGACATTAAGCATTGAGATGGTCTTCCATGGTATTGCCATTTGGGGAACTCACTAAGACTGCAAGTTGCTCAATTTTTTGAATAATGTTAAGCCCAGTGGTAATTTGTTTCAACAGTTTGGTATCAAAATTAAGAATAAGCCATCGGCCTTTAAGATGATTAGTTATTGAAATCCACTCCAAGTTCGCTTCAAGTTCTACATATTTGAACTTTTTTCTATGAAGTGTGCTTTGTGAAAGCGGTATATCATTAATTTCTATACCTCCAGCTTTAAATAATTCACTTAAAATTACCAGATGAGGTCGTACACCAACATTGAACCTTGTTGCTGGAATAGCAGTACATTCAATGAGCTTTTCAACATACACTGCTAGATTTATCCT